GAGCCTCGATGGCCTGCACTGGAGGACCAGGAGGTGGAGGACTCTGGGCCTGCTGTTGCTGATTGGGGAACGGCGAGCTGATAACCGCAGGGCCCTGGCTTGGAGTTCCGCGTCGGGGGGTTGGAGTCCTTGCAAATCCTTCGGGAAGATCGTTCCATGCAGGGACATTGCTTCGTTCCGTGTGCGGCTTTACTGTGGAGGGGGATTGGGTTAGGCCTCTGGGAGGCGGCGGAACTCCATGGGCTTGCTGACCGTGGAATAAAGGAGGGGCGATACCTGGTTGCTGTGTCGGTTGGTAGCCGGTGGTGGGTGCATAGCTTGATGTCTGAGCACTTGGAGCGTAAGGGTTGGCGGGTTGGTTAAAGGCTGGTGGTGCGTACGGGTTGTTTGGAGTTGGTCCACGGTTCATCATTGGCGGCTGCTGGGACAATGGAGGCTGGACAGGGGTGTATCCTCCAAGCGATGGCTGCGGCAGGGCTGTTGAAGCTTGTCGGGCTGCTGGAATATGCGAAGTTGATGCTTTGGGTGTGGCCTTGGTGGTAGCTTTCTTGGTAGCTAGTTGGATGCGGTTCTTTGCAGCGCCTCCTGCTGGATGGCTGTCTGGTAGCAAGCTGAGGTACTTCTCTGCTACATCCAATCTGCCATGAGTAGCAACGATCTCGGCATACTCAATGTACTTGTCGTAGAGAGAGGTGAGTTTCCAGTCCGATGGCTTATCTTTTTCAGCGTCAACGAACTTAGACACTTGGCGGAACACAGTGACCTTCTCGATGAAGTCTCTGAGAACTTGGACGTGGATCGAAAACCCAGTCTCACCAGAGGCGGTCTCAACCATCTTGCTCTCATTCTCCTTGAGTTCCTGGATCCAGATAGACACAACTTTCTCCAGCTTGGAACTGGCCAAGTAGCAGAAAGAAGCGTCCTTGCGAGTCTCCTTGCTATCATGAGTTCTCGAGTACTCTTCCAGCCTATCACCAAGAGCTTCACAAAGTTCGGGATAATCCTTATCATCAGCAAAAGTGCAAATGACAGCAACTATCTCCTTCCAGTTCTTAAGGTCCGCATTATGAACGACGTCCCAGATATCCTTGCCAGCGATAGATGCTAGTAGGCGGACGTAGCTGGGGCCCTCACATTTCTTGAGGAAGTACGCCTCCTGGGCTTTTTCAATGCACTCCTGACCACCAGATAGAGCAATCATAAGAGCATCAGCCATTCGGTCCTCCTTGAGGCAGATCTCAAGGGCCTTGTCGAATTGACCCTGTATAAGAGCCTTGGTGATAGACTTGTCTGCTTCAGTCTCTTCTCCCGTAAACAACTGGAAGGGGCTGTTGGTCTGAGCCGCCTTGGAAGCAGATAGGTCAGTCAAGAAGCTGTCACTCTCGCCATCAGCCCCAGTATCAAAGATAGAAGTGAGCCTCTTATGTTTCCTGGCTCCTGCAGGAGGTGCAAGAGATGGCTTCTCCTTCTCCTCCACTTTCTTTTCTTCTGATTCCTCCGTTTTCAGCCCGAGCTTGGCTAAGCTGTCTGCAGCCTCATCAACATCGCCAGTAAATCCAAGGTGAGTAACGAGTTCCTTTCGAGGTGTCTCTGACATCAGAGTAGTCATAACCCTCCAGTCAGATTTCTCCTCTTCGGTCTTAGCCTCGGCAGCTCGAGACTCGCAAATACTACGGACGTCTCCAGAGCTTAAAGCGGACTCAAAAGCATCAGTAGCAGCACCAATGCTAGCGTCTACCTCAAACTTGCTGATACGGATGGTTGACGTCCGTGTCCCTGGGGCTGTCACCACTGAGATGACCCTTCCACCAAAACCAAAGTTGGCGGTGGTAGGACGCTCAAACCATTTTGGAGCCTTTGGTAGGGAGAAAGTAGGGCCTTGTGGTTGAGTCTGTGCTTTGGCAAAGAAGTCTTCATCATTGAGAGGTTGCGCATCGTCGCCCTTTTGCGCCGTTTCGGGATTAGTGTTTTGAAGCGTCTGAACGGAGATCTTTCCATCCAAAGAGGCAGTGGCAAGAATATTGGGGTTTGTAGGATTGAATCGAGTTTGGAAAGTGGCATTTGTAACGATTGGGAATTCTCCGTATGCCTCGCCGGTCTGCGGGTTCCAACATATATTTCGGTTGTCCTCGCCACTGGAAAGGAGGAGTCTCGGGTCCTGGGGACACCAAGACAGCGAGAGGACGCCAGATTCATGGCCCTTCAGTACTCGTTCGGGTGCATTGGCATTGCGCAGGTCCCAGACAAGGATAACCGGATCGGTCTCGAGGGGAATCGACGTAACTAGTCTGGTAGGCTTCTCTGGATCCCAAGCGATAGCACTGACAGGCTTACGACCAAGGTTCTTAAGGGTCAAGCTCTCCTTTCCAGCCTTAGCATCCCATACCGTTACGAACCCGTCACTGTTTCCCGTGGCTAGGATATGGGGTACTTTCTTGTTCCAGTCGAGGCAATCTATCTCGACTTGGCTGGCTGCAACTTTGCCCAGTCTAGTTGGGTTCTCGATGTTATTCAGGTCGGTAATGAACAACTATTGGACAAGAAATTTAGCAAAGGGTTCACAGCATAGACAAATTGAAAAGCATCACTAACCTCCCCTACACTTCCACCACTGGCCAGGAGATTGGAATGCCTAGGGTGAAATTGGAGCGTTTTGACTGCCCCGCTGTGAGCAGCCACTTTCATGGCTGGTTCACTGCTACGAACAGTCAGCTCAACGGTTTCCGTAAACAGTCAATTCCGCAATCACAAACCTAGAGCCATCCAGCAGCTTTGCGGCGTCCCATAGATTCAAGGCTCCGTTCTCCAACGCTCCCGCAATAAGCCCTCTAGTGCTATCCTCTGTCTCTGCCCACCCAAGGTCATGAAACCTACAACCAAATCAGTGAGCCGTCATTTCCAATTGACAGCATTCCACCGTCGTCTATAATATCGCCGTGGAGCTCACCTAGACTCTGTGCTAATCTTGGCTACAGGCTGCAGCTCCGCTCCCACATTCTCACCATCAAGCTTGAGATCCCACAATTCTAGAAAGGTCTCGTTGGAGAAATCGACGTCGACGGCTCTAACGTGCGTTCCGGTCGCTAGGAAGGGAGAAGAATGGCCCGGGGACCAGGCGAAGGCCGCACTGCGTGGTATCTGTCGTAGACGCACCATGGTCGTATGTGCTGCTAGATACCAGGGATCACGGAGAGAAAACTAGAAGAAAAGGGAAAAGAAGGAAACCCCCGACTGGCCGTCTAGACGGGAAGCAGGTCTCCTTTAGTGTCAAAAGGCCCTGTCAGCGAGTAGACGGTAGCAAGACAAGGACAAACTGGCTGTTTATACTCGATATATCAACTGTCGTTTTGTTGTTGGGCTTCAAAGGGGCAACAAGGTGGCCTTTTAGTAGATAGTCACGTGATATGAGATTTTGATAGACAACGAACGAGGTGAAAATGTGTGAAAGACAGCGAAGCAGAGTCGCAGAGAGGAAAGGCGGCGGCAGGAAGACAGTAGACGCAGAATAGACGATGACGGACGCATCCAGGCTAAAAGGCACCATCTACGTGGGCGGGCTCGATCAGGCGGTTACGGTGCGGACGCTGAGCGAAGCGTTCATCCCCTTTGTCGAGATAACTGATATCTCGCTGCCGAAGCCAGAGCTGTCTTCGTCCACAGATTTGCACCGGGGATTCGGATATATCGAGTTTGAGCTGCCTCAGGATGCCAAAGAGGCGATCGACAACATGGACCAGAGCGAGCTGTATGGACGATCTATCAAAGTAGCGCAGCAAAACCGCAGAAAGAGAGCAACGAGGGACTAGGTAGTAAGACGGCTATATGGGAGCAGGTGTGTTTACTCTTGAATTAAGTACAAAGGGAGTAAAGAATTAATACGGTTCACAGGAGGGATATCTGGCTAAACACGCAGTCGGCGAGGAAGACCAGCTTGCTACAGGAGAAGCCAGCGCCAGCAACAACCGGCCTGAAGATCCTATGCAAGGTCTAGAGGGACTAGACGTCGCAGGCCCGAAGCCAGCATAGTGATGCCGTACCGCCGGAGAGCTATCAAAATCGGAATCATACAAGACGCAGCACTGAGGAAAGCAAGCAAGCTGTGCTGAATTGTCTCATATATGTACAAAAGACCGCCACCAACGCTCAGCTACCATCTTAACGATACAAGGAGATGATTGCATTAATTTTCTGCTCCTAAATCTGCTACTCAAACATATTTATGCCGCGCCCATCATCCCTTTTCTCCTTGTTCCACACCCGGAAGGAGAATCCAGGCTTAGTGGTCCTCGCGCTTCGATCGGCTGAGACGGAGGGTCTTATCCTCGAACAGCTTCTTTCCGCTGGAGTAAATGGCGGCGCAAATGGCAACACTAGAAGGTGTTAGTATGGGGGTCTTCTTGGGCATTTGATAATGGCAAAATCTTACGAAAGGACGACACCTAAGTAATAGACTGTTAGCACGATCAATTCAATTCCTGTTAGCCTATCACTTTAAGAGCATATTACTCACCGAGAGGGATCAACTCCGGAGGAATCTTCTTGAGTGTTCGCAGACGTTGGGAGATGGTGTGAGCTAGAGTTCAACGGGAGATTGTCAGACGAGCCGGCGACGTCAAAACATGGCATTGGCCTGCCAAACGGCTAGATTTCGGGTCCCAGAGCTTACCGCTTTGCTGTTCCTTCTATACGGAGCTGTTAGAATCTTTACTACTGGAATACCGGCGGAAAACAGAGCAGAGCAGAGCAAGGAAAACGTAGCAACTTACGGGGATGGGCTCGAAGAGAGGTCGAGCCGACCGGAAGCCGAGGGCACGAGTGGCAAACATCGTTGCTGGATATTCAGGCAGCTCGTTCAAACGCCGCAGAGTCGAGTTCGGGTTGCTGTGCAGTCGCTGGTGCGCAGTTCGTCGTTCGCTTGTTTGTATCGTACGTTGTTCACGGAGAGGATGAGAAGTGGGAAGCGTAAAGCTGAATGTCTGATTCGCCTGATTCGCTTAGTCATCCGTTCTCACGGGACTTTTTCTTTTGGGTCACGCAACTTCAACTCCAACTTCACACCAACCGACGCAGACCTTAACGAAACGACCACCAGACGAGCGAAGAACAGCTCCCCGCCCCGCCGACGTTGAGAACACGGTCAATTGCGTTTGCGAACCAGCCACCATGCCTGCCGAGATCCCAGACGCCGACCCCGATGAGCCCGTCGAGACCAAGCCCTTCAAGTTCGTGACTGGTATGTTGATTCTCCTGCCCTGCTCTTCGTTTACCGTCGTAGCTGTCCTTGACTGGCACTGACTGTGTGCAATTGCTGACTCTGCTCGATAGCTGGTACGTGATAGAACCCTAAGCACTGTTTTCGTGACCTCCCCGTTTGGTTTGGACTGTTTCTGTCAGAGTGGTGAGGTGGCTGACCGTACTCTAGGCTTCGACGCCCGTTTCCCCAACCAGAACCAGTAAGTCAGGTCCATTGGCAGCAATATGTCGGCGAATAAATGAGTCTAACGGTGTGTCTAGGACCAAGCACTGCTGGCAAAACTACGTTGACTACCACAAGTGCATCAACGCCAAGGGAGAGGAGTTCAAACCCTGCAGACAGGTACTACTCATATAAGCACCCATAACAGATTGAACCATGCGTCTGACCCAATTCTAGTTTTTCCTTGCTTACCGATCTCTCTGCCCCAAGTCCTGGACCGATCGATGGGACGACCAGAGAGGTATGACACCCCAGTCTGTATTGTGAGCGTCAAGTTGATGCTAACATCTTCCTCAGAAGCCGGCAACTTTCCTGCTCGCCTCGACCGATAGATTTCTTTTAGGATAGCCTGGGGCTGATGATATCGATGTCACAGCTCCTCTGGCTTGCTGATGGTTAAAGAAGTGTATATAATAGTCTCAATATCAAAGCAGGATTTCAAAGCAAAAAAGAAAAAAGAAAGAAAAAAAGACTATCTTTATTACTTTTGCATCAGTATCAATATTATTAAGAATTTAAGACCAACCAACCCCCCACGCCCTAAATAGAATATAGTCTAGTCTATCCTAAACATATTACATACTACAGTGTATCCAATTGACCTTTAGATGAACTACCAACTAGATCGATGCCTCCGACTGAACCCCCTTCAATGCACGATACACCTTCTTATGCTGCTCCAGGAACAAAAACGTCGCAATGGTATGAGGACCTAGCCGGATGAAGCTGGGTGTCCACCCTCTGAACATCCAAGTAAACCCTTCTTTCTTAAACACGTCTCTCAGCAGTCCAACGAAGCTGTGTCCTTTACTCTCCGCGGGACTGGCATGCATGATTCTGGTCTTGATCACATCCACAGGACTGCACACAGACGTAGCTACGAACCCGGCCATGAACGATGAAGTAAAATGTGTCGTCAGGTTATCCTTCATGCCCAGGTTACCGATACATATACCTTTGAACGTATCATAGGTAGCCAGCTGTGACGCAGTCATCAGCACTGCTCTGGCCGAGTTAGGCCAAACACCTCTAAATGCACTGCTGATGCCCTCTGAGCGTATCATCCGAACTAGTCCGTCAAGTGCATGCTTGTAGTTCCGTCTCTTCTCAGGAGGGAGGCTGGCATCTGATTGCATTCGTACGTTCAATACGTCTGCGGGGTTACCTACCAGTCCGCCCAGGAAGCCGGAGACTGATGCCATTGCAATAAGCGTAGGCAGAGACGGGGGAGAAGAAGGAGATGCCTCGTTGACTCGAGTCTTAAGTTCCTCATAAACTCCGAACCGAGTCGTTGAATATGTCAACTGTCGTAGGACTGAGGCGGAGAGCTAACCTCATAACCATCAGCATATCATGTCAAATTTGCCTATAGGGATAGAGAGGCCTTACTCCGCTGTATAGTCCTAGGAATCCCTCGTTTTTACATATATGGACTATGGTCCGGAGCATCCCGGTTGGGTCATTTGGTCCTCGAGTTTGTAGCCGGACCTGTCAAGCCAGATATCAGCAAGATGCCCTCCATCAACAAGCCAAATTTGAAGATGTTATACTTTGACTAGAGCAATCCGTCAGTATTTAGTACCATCAAACATCGCCAAATCTGTTCAGCTGTCATCTCACCAAGATCCAAGGGATGTGTCACCCCCGCCGCACAGCAAGAAGCTGACCCTCCAAACCAGAACGGATAATGCACGCCAGGCTGCGAGGCACCGCCCTTCATCACTCCTTTTTTGCCCATATTGACGCTCCCAAACTTCGCATCCTTGCCTCGGACGAAGCTGTCTAGATGATGCTGGAGAAGAGCAAGAATCGCCGTTTTCCTCCCTTTCCAACGGCTTTCTGGAGCTTTTAATTCGCCTTTGCGAGCTCTGATTTACATGGGATCCATTTTACAGTACAATACGTAATATTTATTCCCCGGCTCGCGGTAATTGGCTGGAGATTGGAGTTCCTGGTAATTTTCGATACGCAGGCGGAACATCACCGAGCGAAAATTACGACGAGCTTGATATTTACAAAGCCGAGCTGAAGCAGCTGAAGACGACGACGACGGGAAGAGGAGCAGTCAAGAAGAAGAGACAGACAAGATGCAGTTGCTGGCGACAGGAAGGGCACTGCGGGTTTCCTGCAGATGGTCTTTGGCTGCCTCGAATTTGGCTGCACCGCGACCGGTTTATATCAATCGATTACTCACATACCAGTCGAAAGCACTACGACCCCGGTTCAACAGCTCTACAGCAGCTCCAAAGGACGAGCAGACCCTCGGAACAGAACCAGCGCCATCAATTGCATCGTCTTCTCCAGCTTTGACCTTGGGAAATAAGTCTTTCCAGCCAGATGATTGGACAAACGCCCCTAGTCACATCCTCGCGCACCTCGGCCGTGGTTTATATCTAGACGAGAACCACCCACTCTCAATAACCCGGAAGCTTGTCGAGAGCCAATTCTCCGGCCCTGAATTTGGGAACTATGCTGAACCGGATCCAATTGTTCCTGCGGCGCGGAACTTCGACGACCTAGGTTTCCCAGCAGATCATCCGGGTCGAAGCCGGACAGACACATACTATTTGGATAAACAGACTGTTTTACGGACACATACAAGTGCACATCAGCGAGCATATTTCCAGCAGATGAACAGGAATGAAGCTACCAAGCCGGAAGAGAAAGGATACACTATTGTAGCAGACGTTTACCGCCGCGATGCTATTGACCGAAGCCACTATCCCGTCTTTCACCAGATGGAGTGTGCAAGACTATGGAAACGACCTGAGAACGAACCACTGAAGTCCTCTCAACAAACGGCAGCGCAGATATGGAAAGATCTTGAAGCTCTCCCTCGTCATGATGTTGTTGTGGAAGATCCCAACCCAACGACACATCCGACTCGCAACCCGCTGCAAGACAAGTATCATACTGCAGAGGAAGCCGAGGCAATTACCGCCCACCTTAAGCGGTCTCTCGAACTGCTCGTCATAAGAATCTTCTCTGCTGCTAAAGAAGCCACTGAGAACCCAGATGCTATACAAGAACCCTTGAAAATCAGATGGATCGAGGCATACTTCCCTTTCACTAGCCCATCCTTCGAGCTTGAAGTCTTCTGGCAAGGCGAATGGCTAGAACTACTAGGTTGTGGTGTCGTCAAGCAAGAGCTTCTCAACTCCTCTGGCGTTCCACATCGAATTGGTTGGGCTTTCGGCCTGGGCCTTGAACGAATTGCAATGCTTTTGTTCAATATTCCTGACATCCGCCTTTTCTGGTCCAAGGATCCCAGGTTCCTTTCCCAATTCCAGGCAGGCAGGATCACTCGTTTCATGCCCTTCTCTAAACATCCAGCATGCTACAAGGACGTTGCATTTTGGCTTCCATCTTCTGCAGCTGGCTCCGTAAGTGCAGCTGGAGGAAGTGTGCCGTTTCATGAAAATGATATTATGGAGATCGTGCGAGGTGCAGCTGGTGATTTAGCAGAGGATGTAAGTCTGGTTGATGAGTTTACGCACCCGAAGACGGGAAGGAAGAGTTTATGTTATCGAATTAATTATAGGAGTTTGGAAAGGACTTTGACGAATGAAGAGACAAATAAGCTGCATGATAAGGTACGGCAGACACTGGTGAAAACTGCTGGCGTTGAATTGAGGTGATAAGGGGGTATTTGTCTGTATTCTTTAGTGATCTGTACAATAGCCACTCATGTATTTTTAGACAGTGTTTGGTTTCATCTGGATAGATTTGATTCAGCTGTAACTTTCAAAGTGTGTAGTGTATATATACCCTTCGATCCAAAGCATATCTGCTATTAAACGAGTCTCTAATTTGCAAGTGTACATCATTCCATGCACCGTTCATACCGCACCAGAGCAGCAGCAAGAATCCGCCAGCAGGAAAGAAAAATAGGGGGAAAAAAGGAAAAGGGCATGAGGCAAAAACATACAGATAAGAGAGGAGAGATAGGAGAGACAAGAACAGTATAAAACGGGGGTAACATAACAGTAGAAAAGAACATGTAGTTTATGTATGTGTACAAATTCAATCGTCAAACTGAAACATCATCCCGTAGAGAATAACCTTAAAAGCAAAACGCCGTGCCTAGCTGCTTTTATAACCGGCTCCGCTAGAAGCAGAATAGTATACAGTATGCCAATGAAGCGGCTATAATTAGGAAAATGGGGAGGGTCATGCAGAGGGGATAGATTGAAGGGGCAAGAGGTGGGTTGAAGAAGGCATTAGAATCGGATAGGTATCCCAGAGGGGATTTTTGTCGTTCAGGGTATGCAAGAGAGAATTTTATGCGTTTTTTACGACGCCAACTTTAGCAGCCTATGGAAGATGTCAATTATGTTCCGTTGTCATACATGTAAGGTAAAAAACGTACCCTGAGAATTCTGCCGTTAAGGGTGAAACCCTTGTTCTGAACGTGCATGATATCGCCGTCCTGCTTGCCCTCCATTGGAGACATGAACAAGGCCTCATGTCTGCTTGGGTCGAACTTCTGAGGTTGACCATCTACCAGCTCGGACGGGTCGAATCTGACAACACCGTGCTTCTTGAGGGTATTCATGAGCACGCCCTCGGTCATCTTCAGGCCGGAGAACAGCTCATAAACATCCTTGTTTTCCTTTGCATTGGCAGCATCGACTTTCTCTGGAGGAACAGCTGCAAGCGCACGCTCCAGGTTATCAATTGACTCGATGAGGTCCGCGGCAAACTTCTGGATAGCAAAGGTACGAGCAGCGTCGATATCTCGGCGAGTTCGCTCTTGCAGGTTGCGGAAGTCAGCGACAGAGCGAAGATATTTATCCTAGTATTCCACGGCAGAGTTAGCTCTAATCAATTGCATGCATAACCTGCATATCGATCCGATGCGCGGCATACCTTCAAATCAACCACTTCCTTCTCACGTGCTTCTAGATCCTTCTTCAATGTCTCGACTTCAGATGGCTTTTCAGCTTCAGCAGCTTCTTCGGCCTTGGGCTTTTCACCGTTGGCTTCCGTTGAAGCGTATCTGCTATGTACTCTGGAAGGGAATGATCGTGCTGCTAGCTGTTGGGACTGGCGGATGATAGCTGATTGTCTATGGAAGGGGGAGATGATGGACGAGGGAGCCGCAGAACCGGCAAGCCGACTTTGTCTGAGAAATGCTCTGCGGAACATGATGGCGGATTTTGTATATATCTTCGTCTATTCACGCTTCAATTGCAGCAAGAAGATCAAGGAAAAGGAGCTGTTCAGGTCGAGTTCTTGTATGAATAAAAAATTGCACGTCTTGAAGCATCAAATTTGACAGCAAGAAAAAGTTGAATTTCGCAACGCTTGGCGGAGTTACATTTTTCCGCTCCGGCCTTTTTTTTCCTCTTCCATTTTTTTTTTCTTTTTCCATTTTACAATCTTCAAATCAACCTCAACTTGATATCAAAAAGCGAGAAGAAAGGCTGAAGGAAAGACTTGTTGATTAAAATCCTCCTATATGATATTAACTACGGCTATATTTTGACTACTCATATTCAAAGAATTTTATCGCTTGCCCAAGGGTATATCGCCTATCTTCAGTCGCCCAAAAGCGGGCAAAACCTCTTCCCAAAGGCCCCTATCCCAGAGTCCTATGATTCCTGTTGGGATGCCTATGATCCTATGGTCGCAAATGAAATTGTTACGCCGAATGAAATGCTTTTGGTAGAGAGCGTGGAAGGGCTAGCTCTGCCAAACCGTGTGTGATGTTTGATGGGAAAACGCCCGCTTAGTCTAGTTCAAGGTATAGACGGTGTCGAATTTGATAAATGAAAAAAAAAAAAAAAAAAAAAAAAAAAAAAAAAAAAAAAAAAAAAAAAGTTATGTGCAATGAAAGTGGACGGTTAAAGGAGTGATCATATCCACGGTTTGTCGGTGTTTGAACGGTGAAGTCCCGCATCAGCATATATTATGATTGATTCGAGATCACTTCGTCGGCTGTCCTTTTCGCTGATGCTGGTATAATCGCTTATGCTTCGGCTGTGACTGGGCTCCTTTGGAGCAGGTTGAGGCAGGTTGAGGATGGCGACCATATGCTCCAATAGCTTCTGTTGGATCTTTGCTCGCCGCTCTTCTGCATATTCGAGTTTGGTCGCCCATTCGTCTATTGATTGATCGATTTCTAGCAAGGCTTCTTCTTGCTTGAGGACGCCTTCGGGGGAAAAACTGGAGACCCCGCTGGCTGATTTGAGATATGATATCACTCTGCCATGCAGACGTTGTCTGTCTGATCGAAGAGCAACATGAGTGTCTCGAAGGTATTTGCAATGTTTATTAAGAGTATGCATTTCCTGCTCGTCCGTTAGCAAGAAATTTTTCAATTTCTCCCGTTTTAGTGGATTTAAAGGGGCTCCTGCCTACCTGTGTGAGAGACGATACTTCGCTGTATTTGAGAACTTCGAACCTCTGCCCCCTTCGCCGAGCCTGGCTTTGAAGTTCTTCAATTTCCTGACAGGTCAAGAGCATAGAAGCTGTTTGGATGGAATACCCCGGCGGCAGATTTCCAACCGGAATATCAATATTGTCAAGCCCTGCTCTACCCCGGGGCTTCTTCCTGGACGGCTTTTCTCTTATGACAAGGTCTTTTGGAACATCATCGCTCTCCCCGGGCGCAGGACTCTCTGGTCGCCGCGTGGCATCTAATCCTAGTATCTTCAACGATTTCGGTCGTTTGTCATGGTATCTTTGGGAAAATTGTGGGAGATCTGCTAGCTGATCTGCCTGCCGCTCCTTTTCCAACAACAGGTTCGAGGTCGATCCGCCCCGCAGATGAGAGAGATTGGGAGCAGAAGTTGAGTGAGCAGCTTCTATACATCGGTGCCTGGGCAGACCTCGGCCAAAGAAATGCGACGGGCTGGTTTTGTCCTTCTTGGGCACTGCAGGTTCGGTTTTCGGAGGCACCTTGGGAGGGATTCCCTCAATTTCAGCCTTGGTCGGGCTCCGCTTGCGTTGCAGCCGGGCTCTAGGTTGTTGCTGATGTGCCATGATCGGCTGGTTGCTTGAGGGCGTAAGTCTTCCGGTTGAATGTGGACTCGGTGACTGTCTGGATGTGTTGCAACTGTTCCCCATTTGTCTGGCAGTGCGCCTGTCGCTGAAACTTGAGTAACCCAGGGGTGAATGGTCGCGAGCTCTTGAAGACGGTCGGGAAAACCCTAGGGCAGTTTGAGCTCTCTCATGGCTCGGGAAATAACCCGGTATAGTAGCTGCAAACGCACTAAATTAGTTTAACCGGCTTCAAAACAGCATCGGCATCCAGCTTCCCGCTAAGAAACCGAAAGAGAGAGAGAGAGCAAGGAGAGGAAAAGAGAGAAAAAGAAAAGAAAAAACATGTCGTGTCCTTGGGGATTGGGACATACGTGAATCCATGTGTTTTGAATGCCGGTTTGTAGATACTGTCAACAGCGACTCGCGAGAACCAGCAGCCAGCCTGTCACGATTAGGGCCGATATAAATATATCGTCCTGAGCTGGAGGACTCTGGGGTTCGTCCTCTCGAGCTCGCGGAGGTAGTAGATGACCGTTTAGCAGGCGGCCAGAATTGCAGTTTCAGCTTGTCGGTTATGCTCTGCCTGGCCAATTCCGGAGGTTCATAGGTGATCTGAGGAAGCGAAATTGGTCAGAGGCCAGTCAACCAGCGAAGAAAGCGAAAAGGAGGAAGAGGAGGGAAGAGTCAAAGAGGGAGAAGCAGGATGTCAGGGCAAGGCGGTTAAGTATTGATATACCTTTGGGGATGTGTCCTTTGCGATTATATTGTTGATGCCGACATGGACATCGAAGTCGTCTATCCATTGCTCGCAGACAGCCATTGCCCTGGTTGAATAAATAGACAACCCCAGCCAGCAGAGGAGCTATAGTGGATCTCGTTAAGGCCGTTTATGGCTATCTTTAATTATATTCTTGCCTTCACGATGTTTCAACGATATCCTGCCCATGCGAAAGCTCCACATTCATTTATTTCACGATTCTGCGTTTAGAGATCCCTGAAATTGTCTCTGCACGCCGGTGGCCTAACTAGCGGACCGTCTTCGTCAAGGCAGGTCAAGGCGGATGGAGAGAGACAGGAAGAGATAGGCTGAGTGAGAGACCAAGCATAGGCAGTGTGGGCAAAAGCCAGAGGGGGTGTCAGTGTTAGAGACCCTGGTTGATGACGCCTAAGGGGAGGAACTGCGTCGAGCATCTTGTCTCCATCCTTCGAGTGCCCCATAGTCGAGCTGACTTAAAAAGACTTCACTCCAGGTTACTAAATATCCCTGCCAGCCTTTTCCCTTGCCTGCAGCTGCAGAGAAGAGGGGAGCCAAAACGCCTCATCACCGGACTTCGGGGCTAGATGGCTTGCTCTAGTGTGCCTCTGCAGCAAGGCAGCACAAAACTCCATATGCACACCGTGACGAGGTCACCAGGAGAGTGCGAGCTGCGAGCGAAGATCTGAGCTGCCGGTGGGCTCTGATTGTTCACCGGGAATAAGCAAATATATATCGACACTGAGCAGAAAAAAAGGGGGGTGTGGAGAGAGGTAACTCGAAGGCCGATCAGCCCCCCCCCCCTTCAACTCGTCTCTTCGCTGTACCTGACGCACGTCCAGCAAAGGTACGGAGTACTGACTAGCTTGCTTGCTTGCTTCCTAATCATGAATCGACAGGTTGACTTGATTCCCCACGATGGTGGGCGGATGGGCGTATACTTAGTGCCCAGGGGTTAATCTTGCAGTAGGGAATGATAATCCTCAAAGAACCCATCCCAGTCGTTCTTTTTGATAACCTGGATGGCCACGTTTTTTCCCTCGCACTTTTGCAAACCGACTATAGCCGGGTCCTTGGTCCTGGCCCTGGGCTCTCGGTCCTTGAATTTGGTGTCCTTTTTTTTTTTTTTTTTTTTTTTTTTGAATTTGGTTCTCTAGTACTTCTGTAATGCGTTGATTTTTTGGCCTTGATTATTGCTTTTCGGCTCTGTCCGCCACCCGACCCAAGGAGCAGCAGTACATGCATTTAGCCAGAGACCAGAGAATATCGAGGTTATTTGTTAGAGTTGCAATGATATGACCCTTGAAATTATACCTGTCGAAGAGTTAAAGATGGGTTACTTGTCAGGATACTTGCGTATAACTAATCCTGTCCTGCCCTATAGCTGGGGGAGGATCTGCCTTTCTGACCCTGCCTCCTCCCACTCTGATAACGGGATAGAATGCGCGAGGAATTTCGCCAGGGAGGACGATCTGTTCTTTCTAGCGCCCTCAAGCCCTTCGAAGAACAATCCTGATCTTCTAGGCATGGAATAAGGAGACTCACACGTGGGACGTGGATAGCGAGCCAGATATCAACTGCCGGGTACCGAGTCATGCTAGTCAAGTGTACTCCGTAGGCAGATATCCATCCGCACTGCATCAAACGAGAGGCAAAGAGGCAGCTCCAGCAACTTCTCGCAAATCTTCCCTCGTAAACGAGAAAAATAAGGAAGGGAGATCATGCGCAGCGGGCCTTGAAAATCTGGAGTTCGTGCATGGTGATATGTGGAATAAGGGGGTCGTCTAGTTGGCTCCTCGATGTGAGTGGTCCGACCGCATGGGTGATATTTGCTCGATATTCGGCGAGTCTGGCCCTGAATCTCGCTGTTTAGACGGGATAAGGTGTATGGATGGGCTTTCGAGAGAGGCAGCTAAACCCTCGTACTCTCTTAACTTGTGCAAATTGGTCGGTAGTTTAGTTCCGTTCCCGTGCCTCTCTCAAGCATCCTCTATCCCTCCATCGTCAAGGTCGCTGGGAGGCCGAGACGCCCGTGGGGAACTCGATGGAGACAGCTGTGCCGCTGTCAAGCCAATCTGGCAGGTCTTCTGTCCGGATTATGGAGCTCTGGGTCTTCCGTCGATGGCGTGGCAGCTGGAAGTACAACTTACATATCTCGACGTTTGCGTGCTTCTCCGGATACAACTCTACCGCACGCCTTGCAGGCATCTCATGCCTGCCCACTTTGTGGGCCTTAAACGAGGCGATGGCGAGCAGCAACGGCTGATCCCCCAGCTTGCGTGCATACGAGATCGATCTGGTGGGCACCCCCCCCCAGGGACGACATGTAATTATATCACCACCCACTCGTCCTAGACAGTCCTCTCCCTCCTCCCATCAAGGAAGACAGCAGACAGAATCACAGCCCGGAGAGATAGGGAGCTAGGAGAAACCACCCGTTATCCACGACCTCACCGGCAATCTCCGTCGAGACGGGAGCACTAACTAGCGGGCCAGGGGGGGGTTACCAAACAGCTATCGGGAACGCCAATCCTCACCAACTCGAAGCTTTCCCCTCCTTGCTCCGGGGCAAAAGAGAACAGCGAATATCCCTGCTGAACAACCCAGGACGGGCTCGAGAGAATGCAACATCAGCGTCCTTCGGGATTGAAATCATCCCAACCCTCACGTCACTTTTCGTGCCACAAGCCGTCCGTAAAGCCTGAGCATTTCGTCCGCGCCCATTTCCAGATTGATTCCATGTTTCTTCGGGATTCCCATGGACGAGGCGGCTTTTGCTCAGCTATGAATGTCATACCCCGAGTTTAGCGCGGATATAAACCAATCTCTCTTTAGCCAAAAAAATGGCGTCGTCCTCTCAGGGGTTATCCCAACACCAGCCAGATGGTCAAAACGAGCTTTGAGACCTGCATGAACGGTGTGCAACAGGTTTGCTCCATAACTAGCTCTTAACCCGAGCTCTCCTCTCTGTCCCAGTGTGACTGCCGCCCGTTCCAGGCAGCCTCATCCTCTGGCTCTCAGTCTTGCGGGCTCTGGTCGCCTTTCACTTCCCGGAGACTTGTCTGTTCGACAGGTCACAGAATAAAAGATTCCTCATATAGTATGTACGTCCGTTATGCATGTCGATTCCCCCGTGCTCCGTACATGCCCGCTGAAAAGAACCTGTCAGTTCCACCAGAGGCTCGAGGGAAGAGAACAGCTCCATCCTCCATACCCCGTTTCGTCGCCTTGCAGCAGGAACTATGTGCCCCTTGATCCATCTGTCACGGCCCTTCTTCCACCTGGCTGTAGCTCATGCGGACCATAGAGTTCTAGAAGATAAGGTAGAGGCGTTGATGAAACATAGAATTGTGGGCCAATCTTGGTGTCGTTTTTGCTTCTTCCGTGCGGTTTTTCCAGCAATAGCAATGTGCTCCGTAGCTAGATGCCTTGTTGATTGATGTCATCTCCACCGTATACGAAGAGCATCTCCATAGTAATAGTAGGAGTGTGTATACATACAACCAGCACAGAAATCCAAGGCGAGCGTTTCCGGAAGAACTGCTGCTCACTGAATAGCTGAGCGGTGCATGCATGCACCCCATACGCATCCTCTGGCTCTTGGAGAATTGGTGTCCGGCGCGTAGAGAGTCCTATCTAGTCTATCGGCCAGCCGATCAGCTAAGTAGCTAGTGAGTTGGCTAGTGAGGCAGACGAAGCAGTGTCCTCATGATAGATACGATTCTTCTCGAAGGGAAGAGATGACCCCAGCAACCGTTTTCAGTAACCGTTTGCCCTGCTCGCTGTCTCCCTGGCCTGGACGCCGTGTCGAGCTGGCTGCCTGTCTGTCCCTGTGCGAGCTAAGGATGCCGGCCAACCTTGACCAGACCAGCCAAACAACCCCCTGGACATTATAAGTAAGTCGTATATCTGAAATAAGCGACTTATTAACTGTCCACACACGGCCAATGGGCATGCACTTGTTTAGATATCGAGTTTGTTTGGACACCAGAGCTCTTCATCCCCCCCCCCCCCCCCCTTCTCTCTCTCTCTTGGGGCCATCGATGGGCAATAACAGCGCGTTTGATATAAGCCCCTTCGACAGGGCAACCACTTATATAATTTCCCTTCTTGCCCTTGTGCATTTCCCATGACTGCGAAGCATCTAGAAGACGGGGAAAAAGAAAGACGACGTTTTTCAGTGCGACTTGCAAACTTGCGGTAAGGCTTTTGCTGCTGATATATATGCATGCTGCATATATAAAAGGAGTCGACCGTCGAGGCGGCTGCCTGCAGGCTGCTTGTACAACCGCCGCGGATCCCGTCGCCGCGCGGAGATGGGAGTCAGACAGTAACCAAGGAAGCAGATGGAGACGGATGGAGCAGCGTATGGAGAATATTGAGATGTTTGCTGTCAAAGTAGATGAAATTGGACGGACGGTGGATATCGATCAAGGATCAGCGAAGCAACTTATTATACTTGATATTTTGCTGCTTAGGTTCGGGTATTCAATTTATTTTATTTTTTCATTTTTATTTTGTTTTTATTTTTTTTTGATACTGGATACTTCAGGCTATTTATTGTTGGAGGAAATAGGTGTTTGATTGAAGCGGCCTTTGACAATTTCTTCCATTCTTCTCTCGTACAAACAGGCAATACTCTCAAGGACAGGCAGAGTTAAAAAGGATAGAAGCGTAGAAATAGGGTGAGAGTCGTGTATCCAGCCAGGTCCATACCATGCTAGGCCCATTCCCTGGGGTGAACAATCACCCCCGTAGCAGTTCTCTGTGCTCCCCACGCGAATCCATCATCCATTCAGCTGGCTTCCAACGTTAGCATGGGGATAGGGCCCAGCGGGGAGGATAACTAGGGATACCAGGGTCCTACCATAAGATGATAATCTGAACTTTCAAAGTCCCTGGGTGTGCGCTTTTTTGCATACCTCTCATTCACATCCCGTTGGAACCATGCTGCAATGGCACAAACTTACTGGCGGTAGTGGTGGTAGAGGAAATGACCCTGGTTCCCCAACGTCATTTGGAGATGAATAACCTGGTGGATGGGGGTGAGATTGGGAAATTGGTGATGGGATGGTACTGTTCTGTGCCTGGGCGTGTGCCTGGGAGCATCGAGTTGTCCTCCCTCTTCCTCGTCCTCGCCCGGCATCCCCGCCTCCTCGACGGGGTGTTCGACAGAATCGACATGGGCTGGTGAGGTAGACAGGATAGTAGTGTGTGTTTCCTTCTGGGCAGACGTAGCGGTTATCGCAGCGGTTAAGGGGGCCCCAGCTTCGGTGACCGCAGACGTGAATGTAATAGGCTTTCTGACACATGGTAAGATTGGTTGAATGGGTAGAAAGGGTGATTAAATATGGACAAGAAGTATTGAAAGGGCGAGCTTTTAGCTAGGCGTAATTTGCCAGAGATTGAAGAAGTTGCGTTGCGTATTGGTATCCAGTGAATTTCTAATTTGTAAGTCTTAACGAGTGTGTGATAGATTGGCGTAGATATAAAGACTTGTTCAGCTCATTTAAAGAATATGAAAAGAAGGGGAGGGGAGAGAAAGAAAAAGGGGAAGTTGGTTGCCTTTTGGTATCTATATTTAAGCATAGTATGCCTCCTATCGGTGGCAGTCAAATGGTATTCCTCACGGATGTCTGACCTGTATGGCTCCAACCCGGTCGACCAGTCAGTACTGTTGGTCGGGAAGAGGCTGATTGCGCTGAAACTTCAAGGCACAAGATGTGAAGACCCTTCCTTTGCTATCCCAAGAACAAGTGAATTTGGGATATCGTTAAGTGAGGCGGACATATGGACTCTCATTTCTCTCAACTTGACTGGACTAGACCGATTCAAAGAAAAGGCAAAGAAAAGGAAATAAAAAAAAAAAAAAAAAAAAAACGAGATAACAAGGGTAGCAGCTCTCCGGCTTTCACGACATCAGCCAAGGTGAAGGGAGAACACACCCTGTTAGCTGCTCGATTCTCACGATGCTTCATTTTTATCCAGAAAGTTGCTTCCAAAAATGGAAGCACAATCACTGTCATGACGGATTATCGCATGTGATGATCCTCAACATAGCGGGAAAGAATTTAACACATGCAACGAATATATGTTATGCATTCGGAACACGTTGTTGTTGCACCACCTCACATGTATGGCCGAAATTAAAGCAGGTGTCTAACGTCCTCAGTATCCACTGGGGATGGCACTCGTCACCGAGGGTATGTACCTCTCATGCAGGAACGCCGAAGATATTAATGCATCAGTTGTCCATGAAGAAAGAAGTGAGTTTTCCCCCCGGATGGGGTAGTAGAAACATGACCCGAAGAAAGTGAAAGAAATCAGCGTTAGAATGGTATAATGGCAAAGGACCCGAATACTGGGGACTTATTGATTACACGAAGGGGGTATATATGTGCTGCCCAAAGAATGAGCCTGTTTCCAGCAAGTTTGTCAAGCGGTAACGAGCTATAACCCTGGTCAGGAGAATTAAGAGCTTCGAAAGGCGTGTGTGCTGCATGGCACAGCCTTGGATTCAATCGGGTGTACAGAGGAAACAAAACCGACTGGTTGCACGACGAGGATTCGCAGCACAGCTCCGTCAAGAAGCTATGGCAACGAGATAGCCCCTTGCCGTCGTACCAACGGCAGACCTCCTTCAAGACGGCTGTAAGTAAAGAAACTAATAGGTACGTTTTATGTAGCTTTGTGCTAGATCATCCTGCGGTGAATGAGAAACAATAGTAACAAAAGGGGGAGTATATAAAAGGTACCCTGAACGAGGTAAGGTCCAGCTTCGCTTGGAAAGCAATCATGGGTATGTGCAGTTCTGCTGTTCTATCCCGCCCGTGCATTAACCGAATAACTTGTCGGTGAGCCGTAGTCAATGACGGGCGGACGGATGGGCGAGCCATGCCATGCCATACCACGCACCGTTGCAAGAGTACAGCTGGCATCTCGATGTACTCAGGGAAACACCTCCGGGATTATGGCTGTTCAGACGGACATGATAGCCCTCCAATAAGTATACACAATACGCCGTCACCATCCGTCTGCGGAGATAATGTTATATTGCTTCGTAATAAGTCTTTCATCTGTCTGTCTGTCCGCCTGCCGGCTTAGCTTCTCCATTTCTATCCCAAGAAGGGCTGGGTTGCTCTCGGGCTTCGCTCTTCGCAGCAACGATGGATCTAGCCATACATAGCCCAGCTGTCGCGGCGTCTCTCCTCCTCCATGACAGCCTCCATCATCCTAATGTAGACATTAAGCGTATTTGCGGGGGGTCCGTAGCAGCAAAATAATGGCCGGAATTCGGAGTAAACGCAATCCGTAAGTATAAGACTGTACAAAGCAGACACAGCCCTCAACAAATCTACACTCTGGCACCTTCTTGAAAAGATGAGAAATTCAAGCTGAGACGCTGATGATCGCCACATCCGCACCTCCATACCAGATCAACAGGGGGTGGCCCAGAGCGGCAATTTCAAATTGTGTCGTGGAGATTAAAGAGCTAGCTCAGCCATAGTCATGCCTCCTCATGCTTCCAGCTTGGCTAACTAGCAAACAGCTGCTTCTGTACGGAGTAGAGAAGGGTCAGAAATCTCTGAACTGCTGCGCCAGCCAGCAGGGAAAGGAGAGGCCATGCAGTCGGCGTAAACACTGCGCGGCGAGCGGGCTGTGCAGGCTTAGCGCTGAGCAGAAAGTTCACTCTGGATGTGGGATCACCGAGGCCAGATGGCTTCCTCACACCTGAACGAAACACAGTGGCGCTTAGGCTGGTTGGCTGCGGTCTCAGCCGGTTCCTGGCTCGCTGCCTGCGTCGAGATACTTAAATGTGTCGTTGAAGTTCAAGTTTTTCGACTTTCTTGGTTGTTCTTCTGCATTTCCAACACCAAGTCACGGGACCAAAAGCCGGCTTTGCTTCCAACTTTAACGCATCAAAAAGAAAAAAAAAAAAAAAAAGACCGCAGCGCAAGACAGAAAAACATATAAAGAAGAGAGACGCTGCCAGGATACCAGGACAGCAGAAGACAGAAGAGAAGACAGACAGAGACGATTAAGATGTCCGGAACCAGCTCTCCTCACTCTGGCGCTCGCCGCGGCACACCACTATCGATCGAGGTGCCGCCACTGCAGCAACCATCACCTCCATCAAACACCCTCCTTATCACAGATCTAAACGACCTCGCGCTCTTCCAGCCGAGTTCTCTGGACTCTATCAAGGCCCACATAACAGCCACCGCACCGCTAAACTCATTCTCCCCTCTGCCGTCCTTCCGGCGTATAGTCTGCTCGTTCCTCACCGTCGAGGACGCCGTCAAAGTCCGCCAGCTGCTGGACAGGGAGCCGCTACAGGGAAAAGGCCGGGCACGGGTGTACTTTGGCGAAAACACACCTATCCAAACAGACTCAGACGGGATGAGACGCAGCAATCTTCTTGAAGCACCCCAGTCACAGAAGATGTTCTTTATTAGTCCGCCACCCAGCCCTCCACACGGATGGATGATGCGCAACGAGGAGCCGCCAAATAAGGAGGTTCATGCTTCTGATTTGGCTGATGCGCTGGGCAGACTCGGACGGTTGTATGGTTCTGATAGCCATGTTAACGAGTCGGGTCATCGACCAGAGACACCTGTTTCTCCCACAGACGTGGCTACTGCCACGAGCATAGAAATGAAGGGATCAGGACAGAGAAGCCGGAGCAGTACTTTGATTTACCACCCAGAACACCATGGAAGCAGCCCGAACCTACCGGCTGTGATGGTTGAAGACACTTCGGTTGGCTCTGATATGGATTCTGACATGGATCTAAGCCCCCTTGATGCTCGGCCAAAGAAAATATTTGCACACACTTCTCGTCCTCCAACAGAGTTGATGGAGGAGTGATTTACTACGATGATTGCCAGGAGAATTTCTTAATTTCCTTGTTTTTTTAAACTCCTTTTTGTATCTCTACCATGGTTGCTGGAGTTGGTTTCCCTTTGAGCGTTTGGTTAAATTGCCTTAAATACCTTGCTTTGTCCGTTGGCTTAACTTGAAAACCCGTCTCTGCATTATTATTATTATTATTATTATTATTATTATTATTATTATTATATAAATGAAGTATCAGATACCCCCTCTCAGTTACTTTCAAGTATATTGTATTAACTTTGGATTCCAATCATAAAAAAGTCATTAATGATGATACATGTCTATCATGAAATACATCGATCACCGCCTCAACCCACCGCTACCAGACGGAAAGTTCCTCGCGCTCAACAAGGTCCCCTTGACACTTCTGATCTCCGCCTTGAAAGCTGCAATAGCCTCGTCCTCACCATTTGCCGCCTTCTTCGCATCAGCGGAGTCGTCATACGACCCATATAACGAGGAGGTCAGATATAACGGTGCGCTATATGTCAGACTATCAAGGTAGGTCTGTAATTCTGATAGTCGATCTTTTGCATAGCCCTGTGTACTATCACTGTACTTTTCGGCAGTGACGACACTATCTAGGCTTGAAGACAGAGACTGCAAACGAGAATGGTGCTCTTCAATCACGCTTTGAGATGATACTGTTTGCGTTTCTGTTCCTACAGCTGTCTGCGAGGGAGTAGAAAGCTCGAGATCTGTCGTTTGTGTGGCTATATCCCGATGAAACAACTCTGTGGGATCAGATGTAACGGACTCGTTATCATCCTCGCTTTCGTTATCAATTGATATCCCCATTGGCCGTGCCGTTGATGACGCTGGTACCTTTGACACACTGCCTTCAAGCTTCTCGTTTAACGCCTTGAGATTCCCCTGTACTGTCTCGGAGAACTCATGTCGAGCACAGTTTAAAGATTCCAGCATCGGCTTAGCGAGGTACTCGCTTGCACCGCAGATGCTGGCTGCAACACCAGTCGTGGCATATAGCGTATATAGGAAGTTCTGGAAAGTGATAAGTGGTGGCTTCGATTGCCGTAGGAGGAATTCGGGATAGGTTATGATTGGAGGTACATCTTTGTTCGATGATGCTGTCGGTGTTGGTGCAGGCGAAGTTGCCGCCGGAGACTGCGTCGGTTGACTCGACGCTTCTCCGGTCGTCTCTTTCTTAGACTGCGACTCTGATTCTTCTGTCGAGCTGTTGTTGCCAGTGTCGTTGCTGGTGCTGGCGGTGGCCTGGGTGTTTCTGGATATGCCGAGCAGGGTATGTATCTCGTCGTTTGACAGCCCTTTGGACTCAAGGAAGGCAATTTTCTTATCTGTCGACGCTTCGGATATAGACTCATCCTGCAGAAACCGTCTGGCCTGCTCGAGAAGCGTCTCTCTGCTCTCCGTCGCTGCTGCTGAGCTCGCGGCTGTGCTGCTGTTGTCTGAAGCCGTCTGCTGCCAGCTCGGTATCGCCGCGTCTTTTGGTCCTGCCATGGTGTTTCTGGATTGCGCGTATAGGTTATAACGTCGGTGTCAGACTGCCGTAGCTCCCAGTCTTCCTATTTCTACCCTTCTGCCTGTATTTTGGTTCTTCGCTCGTCTTCTCGTGTCTTCTTCTCGTCTCGTCTTTATATGAAAAGCAGGAGAAGCTTCAAAGCAGCTTTTTACCTCGGCTCGAATGTTTGGTATGGTAGCGGTAATATTACAGTAATACTTTCCTCTCCGCAAAAATTCAGCGACGACTAAAGTACTTTTATAATTTACGAGTACGAAGAATACATCACTAAATGCCTGATTTTGGCAATTTTCAACCTCAGAGAAACTCGAAGAGCGAAAGGATGCAAAAGCCGCAGACTTGATATCTTGCAATTTCTGGAGGATAGAAGGCCCAGAGGCGTAGTCAAGCTGCTTTGGTGACACTGCCCTGCGGCCAGAGAACACCCCCTGGCTTGCGATTCGCGGCAGGCTTACTCACAGTTTGGTGGCGGACGAGCGGCCTTCGTCTTCTCCCGGCGCATCCCCCCAACGACGGACGGATCAGATCCATGACCAGCACAGCGAGAGACCAGTCAAGCGTCTCCGCCAACAGGAAGAAGCTCACTGCCGGTCCAGCGCTCGTACGACTACGACACGGATCCAGCAGCGATGCCAGCCGCCGTTCATTCATAGGATAAGGATAACTAGCAGGTAAGGCAGGCCGATGCACATATAGCACACCTATATTCGTATATATATGCCCTGAGCAAGAAGATTCCTCTGATTTACCTGCCGTCTCCCCACTGCCTCTATCCACTGGAACTGCGTCCTGTCTGCTCCCTTTTCTTTTTGGCCGTCCTGGCTGGCTGGGAGTTCCATATCCTTCACCAACCATCCAACAACAAATGCCAGGATGGCCACGCTGAAATGGGGTTTGCGAGGATAGACGGGCATGCCAGCGGCCTCTTTTTAATTATTTGGCAGATGAAGCTCCAGTCGGGCTCTGATGCTTATAGTTACTGAAGGTGTCTTGCTGCCTTCTGCCCTTGTTTTCTAGACTAGAGAAGCGGTCGTGATATGCATCTTCCCTCTTGCTGCCTTTCCGCGGAAACTCCAACCTGCAGTAGAGAAAGAGATATTCACCGCGGGTAGAAGTCGCCGCCCCTCTATATATCTTTTTTTTTTTCTTTGCATAACACATCGTCTTTTCTTCTTCTTCTGCTTCTTCCTCTCCCTCTTCCCTTTTTTCACCGTCAACACCCATCGTCATAGAGGATAGCGAATCACCCCTGTCAGCAAGCCAATATCAATATACCCAAGATGCCCTCCACTCGCTCTCTTCGCTCTCGTGCTGGTGTCACCAAGTTAACTATGGATGCAGACTCTATCGGCGCGGCGTTAAGGACGAGGCGCTCTACAAGTAATAGATCTACAACTATCACCACAGTGACCGTTTCTCGGTCACCATCTACATCTCCTGAAGGAAGAAGGAAATCAATTCGACTTACCGTCAAAATGCCTGCAAGCAAGCTCCGTGAAGTGACAAATGGAGAAGATGATCTCGACAAGCCTCGTAACATCTTCACAGAGAATGTCATCATGACAGGGCCAAGGAACAGTCGATCCAAGAGGAAAGTTGTGGAGGTGGACTCAGATGAGGACGACGATCCCTCGGACATTGGAGACGAGGAAGATGAAGAAGATGATGAGATTGATGCCGAAGGTGATTCGGACCTGGATGCTGATGGTGAACCCGATATCGATGCTGAGGGCGATATCGATATGGATGATGCTCCGCCCGTATCTCCTATCGCCAAACAGGCGGCTTCCAGGCCCACTGTTACAGTCACTCCAGCAGCTGCTACAAAAGTGAGAAAAACAGATTCAAGAGCTGCTTTAGAAGACGAAGAAGAAGAAGATGAGGAGGAAGGACTCTCTGAACTGGAATCCGATAACGATATTGGCGGACAGGATGATACCTTGGGAATTGAGAGTAACGATGACGAACCCGAGGAAGAGGAGGACGAAGAGGATGAGTCTGATGAAGAGCTCATGGGTGGAAGCAGGTCAAGCACCCCCGACCTGAGTAAGATGACTAGACGACAGCGTGGCCGTATCGAGCTTGGAGGCGATTTCTTGCAGCTGCCAATGGGTATGGGTCACTCCTTGCAAAGTAACCTGTCTTGTGCTAATATCAATGTACAGAACCACAAGTCAAGAAACACCTAACTGCAGAAGAACACGCTATGCGTCGTGCAGAGATGGCAAGAAGAAGGAAGAATCTCAGCGAAAAGCGCAACGAAGAAGAAAAGGCATATAAGCACAAAACCTAACATCAACCCTGTTCTCAGAAGCTAACAACTCTTTAGATGGATACTATAAACAAACTGTTGAAGAAACAAGCCCCCAAACGCCGTGGCAAGATAAGTGCCGCTGAAGCTGCTGGAGAAAGCACTCCTGGTCAACAAGAACCCCAGGAACCCGAAAAGCCTGACCCCACGATGATTAGATGCGTTATCAACCGTAATGGCTACCGCATCGGGGTTCCAAATGAATGGCTTGGTACTCCTGCCGGCAACATTTTTGGTAACCCAACTGGAACCCCTGCCACTCATACCGGAAAGCTTGTTGAAGAGATATAGCTATCTATCTTCCCTATCCTGGCTTTTGTCTTTTCTGCTCATTCGAGAATCTTACTGGATACAATGTTTGTGAGTGGTATTAAGACTGAGATACCAGTTACTGCTTTGGGAGTACGGCGTTCAAACATTGACTGCAAATTATTACGTTGTATTAATTTAGTTCGTGTCATTCAAAATTGTATGAGTATCACCGTGAATATTTACAACAGTAGCTTCACATAGCGTACAACCGCGCATCATACAATGGCCGCGCCATCTCTCTTCAGATCATGACCCATTCTTGGTATTATCAGCATCATATACCCATGACCCTTGAATTAAACCAGGGCTCGGACACCAGTGCCAGAGCTAGAGTCAGGGCTATTGCTTGAATAAAACTCCTTCCAATGGATGAGCCCATGCTATCCTGACTTTTTACCGTCACTTCCACAAAATGGAAGGGCCCGTGTGCTTTGGGCCTTTAGGCGGCTGAATTTCCTGTCGCATCACCCAATCTCTATTCAAAAGCGGAATAACCGGCTTTAATCAATCATCCAAATGGCTGTTCATTTCTGTTGCCCTGTTTTATCCGTTGTGCTATTTCCAGTCCACCAATTATATATCTGTCGTGTATACGTAGGCTCGGTTTCCTTTGGCCTGGTGCGGATATTAGCCAGTATAACAACTAAATAATGATACTTTTGTTTAACACATACAAAGTTCCTAGCGTTTTCTGGGTCTCTCGCTCTTGATAAGCGGGTTTAAAAACCATGTAACCTATCGAGTAATATGATATTAGCAGCTGTCTATCAGCTTCAAAATTGACGGCCTATTTCACCATTGAAAATCCCCAAGCCAACAGCCAAAGCAACAGGCAACAGTCCCGCTTTCCCGGACATCCTTAGCTATATATCAAGCTTGTCTGCCGGACGATCCTCGCTCCCGCAAATAGTCCGGCGTCGTCTCCTTGAGCGATGAATTCTTCATTATTTCGTTTATTCGCATTCGAAAAGTCGAATTTCGTGAAGTTGAGTATATTACATAAGCAGATATCTGCCACTTTAAGTCGCGTCGAACGCGCTTTTCGAGCTTGATGGAGAATCAAACTTCGACCTTGCGACTTTTCGACCTTTGACGCCGTTTTGCTGCTCTTGATGGAGTAAAAGGGATGGGGTGCTGCAAATGGAACAATGGCGTGAACGCGGATATGTTCCCGACTCAGACGAAGGAGACGAATTTGATAGCCAGGAGTTGCTCGGTGGTATTGGTGGTGAGCTGGTGATTGCTGAGGATGACGGCACACATATCGAGGAAATCGGGTGTGAGATTCCGCAAGATGATGATAGACGAGAGGATAGTGTCGAAGAAGAAACGCAAAAGGTAGATGAGGGTAAAATATTTGACAGTTCTCAGCGAACACATGTCCCGAGCGAGGAGGATCTTGATACCGACCCGCTACAGGAATATCAGACTGTATTGCACGCTTTTCTGAGCCAGAGCAACAAACGAAAACAGAGCCCTGATGGCCCTGAAAACCCAGAGAACACACTCTCTCAGCTGCAACCGCCGTCGTCCCCGGATGAGCTACAATTTGAGGAATTCCGTCAGCAGCCACCGTCTACCCCTCTCGCCAAAAAGACTGAAGTGCCGGACAATGATATCCCTTTTGAAAGTCTGAACTCATCCCCATTGTCATCTGTACCACCACTCTTAGAGTCTCCTCGGTCTGGAGAAGCGTCACTGGCACTCCCACAAAATGATACGGAACCCCAGCTGCCACAACAGCAGGAAACTGTTCAAGTCAACGACAGGGACATTGACATGACTAACGCTGGTCTTTTGCAATGGCAGAACCAAAGCCACCGGAGGGCCCTGAGACAGCGAAATGCAATCCAGTTGCATCCTTATGTGTTGGAGAACGCTCAGTATCGGTCACTTTTGAGGAATAGGGGTCTGCAGCCTGTACGGATTCCTAATAGTGAACCGCGGCCTCAAAAGGCCACAGGAGATAGTCAAAGCTTTGAGTCCCAGGATGAGAACGTTCCTCCGTCAAGTAGCCCTCTGTATCTTCCGCCTTCCTCGCCTGACATATATGATCAGCCGGGTTTGAGCCAGTCACTCAGTGATCGTGATACAACTAGCCAAAGAGACGAGCTAAGACGTCTATATGATACCAATTCCCGACTTCGCTCAGTCAAGCCTAACCAGGCAGGAAGTAAACGACGCAAGCTTTCTCATATAATAGAGAATCGTCGTTCTGGGAACTCCTCCCGAAACGCAGGGAACGGGCCCCAGGTTATAAATACCAGCTCCAAATCCAAACAACAGGACGATCTACAAAAATTATACGACATCTTTGACGTACCTCCTTCTCCTCCTTCGTCTGGAGAGGGGTCTTCCGCCCTTCCAAGGGATCCAGATACTTTTAGATTTCCCCTGGGATTTACTCCTGCCCAGTCTAAGAATCAGCTGCAGACTCCAGTATCCGACAAAGTAACGCAATTAGAAACCCCTGATGTCATTTCAAGTGATTCTCCATCAATCATTGAGCGTGAGGAGGAAGATGTTACAATCATAGCAGAAGAGCCCGTGGACGAATCTTTATCTGATAGCCCTGAAGAGGAATCCTTTATGATTCGACAGATACAGCGACGGATAAAGGGGGTCCTGCCTGCTTCCTTTGCTAGGCTTGACCTTGGGATGCACGAGGAGTATAAGAGACAAGCTGCTGAGAGGGAACGTCGAAGAGTATTGAATCGGGAACGGAGGGCCGGCAAAGGGGTTGCGCAACCCGTATTGCGGCGGGCAAGGGTTGAAAACCAGCAGGAGGCGTCTACTCGTTCAAATCCTTTCGACCTGTTCAGCGATTTCGAGTCTGAGGATGATGGGACGCCAACGAGATCACCGCAGCAAAAGGAACGAGAATTGCGCGAACAAAAACGACTTGAACACCATTTTGGCTTATTTGACGATGAAGATGATATCCCAGAAGATAATCGAATTGATTATATGGCTCCCCCAGTTTCCCGTCGATCAACTTCGAAGAAATCTTCCAGGGGAAAACGCAAAACGCAGTCCTCAGAACCAGTTGATGGCGAACTTAGGTCAAGCTGGCAGTCGCAGCCTCAGAGGAAACGGCAGACAAGAATCACAGATACCATAAGCAATCAGCGAAAATCAAGGCCCAACAAACCTCGAGCACCGAAGTTGGGTATCTTAGATTCGGAGGATGTTAGGAATCAACATGTGAATACACCGCCACAGTTCTTAAGAGTTGCAGCCAGGCAAGCTCGCTCACGTAGAGATAAGGGGCGTCGAAGCCCATCTCGCAAAGTATTGAAACTAGCCACGAAGGCTGATACGCACGATGCAAACGCTGCATTGCGTAACTGGAGATCAGGAAAATATCAACCAGTCCCTAGTATAACCTCCGCACGCCCGAGGACGATACCTAAGTCTCAAACAAGTGTCCAACCTTCGTCAACCGCTTCAGGCGTTGAATCCCCGGCTGGTAACCCAGCTAGAAGGCCCGCATCCATACCTGGGGAAGTTGCCGAACCCATAATCATTGATGATGACGATAACTCGGCAGGGAATTCAGCCCGTACCAAGCCAATTAAAAGACAGCAAAGTTTGAAAAACAGTTGGGTAGTCCAACGTCCATATGGTATATCATCCCTTCATAGTCAGATTCCCCGGCCCGCGCAGCTAGATATTGAGGATATTCCCACCACCCTTCCTGACCGGCCATCTACATTCCGCGGTACCCTCACAGCTCTTCGCAAGGCATATAAAACATCATCTCAGCCGCCAACTTTGACAAGATTCTTAAATGAACCGCAACAGCTACAGTTACGACAACATACAGTAGAAGCTCCTGCTTCTCTTCCACAAACTGCCCCAAATCGTTCTGCCAAAGAACCAGGAAAACGCCGAATAACCAAAAAGAAGCGCGAGCCTAAACATATCAATGTCGAAACCATTGAATATCGCCAACCCCCTGACTTTGATAACGTAATTAGTGACACAGCTTCGTTCGCACACCCTGAAGAAGATGACCTAATTACCCTTCCTGGTTTACATCGTCCTGAACGGCCATACAAGCTTGACTTCGATACCCATCCACTCTATACAGGTACATATTACCACCAGTCAACCTTCATTGGAAGTGGGAAATTTTCACAATCTCTACGTCTATCTCAAGACTTAGATGTTGACCGTGGACATTCCACTATTCAACATGTAGATAAAATCTACAGCTGGAGTTTTTGGAATGAGATGGTCTCTTCAGAGTTAGGAGATGTATTTGCTTTCATAGCCTCTCACACTAACTCATTAACAAACGATGCGAGAGCTATGCCCACTTCTGCTCCAGATCAAGTGCTGAGACTATACCGGGATATTATTTGCTATGTTTCAGAGCATCTGAGCTTCATAGACCCCGTTGATCGTATAAATTTCGTGTCCAGATGTACTGGTTTTGTTTCTCAAATAACCGAGACATTTATATCTAGCCCTGACCCTGAAGCAAGTGTAACTGCTCTTACAGCGGGGATTGAGATGTTCAACCTGGTGTTTTTGAACCAATTGTTACAGGTCTCAAAACATGAAACTATGGACTTGGCCAGGGCTCGACCCGTTGTTGAGCTGATGAAGCTCTCCGGACAACGGATAATGGATATTATCCTAACCCCTGTTGGTGTACAAAACATTCAACAATTCCTGGAGGATAACAGAAAGCTGGAAAAACGTGAAACTGGAATTCGAGATGAATATCCGTTTGTGGATGCACTTGTGATCGCTCAACGCATTCTCCAGCAGACATCCATCAAGGACATGGGCATTGAAGCTCGGTATTTGGATCGGGTTATGGTTCCTGCGCACCATAGCATTAAAGACCTAGAACGGGCCTGGGAAGCGATTTTCATACTGCTCCCTTTCCAAGAGATCGATGAACTGGGTGTTTTCCGATCTGGGCTACGGTTTCAACTACAAAATGACCACTGGGCTGTTGTCAAACA